CGGAAGATCCAAATAAATGGAGATATCCTGTGTCCATGGATTGGAAGAATTAAATTGTTAAAATGTCTATACAACCCAAACCAATCCTCAGATTCAGTGCAATCCATATCAAAATTCCAATGGCATTTTTCACAGAAATAGAAAAAACAATCCTAAAATTTGTATGGAACCACAGAAGACCCAGAATAGCCAAAGCAATCCTGAGAAAGAACAAAGATGAAAGCATCACACTTCCTGATTTCAAGCTATATTACAAAGCAGTAGTAACTGAAATAATATGGTACTGGCATACAAACAGATACCTAAACAAATGGGCCAGAACTGAGGCCCCAGAAATAAATCCATGCATTTACAGTCAACTAGTATTTGACAGGGAAGCCAAGAACACTCAGTGGGGAAAAGATAGTCTCTTCAATAAATGGTGTGGGGAAAACAGGATATTCACATGCAAAAGAATGAAACTGGACCCCTATCTTACACAACTCACAAAAATTAACTCAAAATGAATTAAAGACTTAACAATCTGAAACCATAAAACTCCTAGAGAAAAACATGGTGGAAGACTTCTTGAAAGTTGTCTTGGCAATGATTTTTTGGATATTACACCAAAGGTACAAACAAAGCAAAAATCAACAAGTGAAACTACATCAAACTGAAAAAAAACTTCACAGCAAAAGAAATAACTGAGAAAATGAAAAGGCAACTTCCAGAATGGGAGAAAATATTTGCAAACTACATACCTGTTAAGGGGTTAATGTCCAAAATATATAAGTAACTCACACAACTCAAAAGCAAACCATCATCATCATCCAATTAAAAAATGGGCACAGGATCTGAATAGACATTTTTTCCAAAAAGATACTCAAATGGCCAACAGGTACATGAAAATGTTCTCAACATCACTAATTATCAGGGAAATGCACATCAAAACAATGAGATACCACCTTACACGTACTAGAATGGCTATTACCAAAAAGAAATAACGAGTGTTGGAGAGGATGTGGAGTAAAGGGACCCCTTGTGCACTGTTGGTAGGAATGTAAATTGGCCCAGCCACTGTGAAAAAGAGTATGGTTGCTCCTCAGAAAATTAAAATAGAACTACCATCTGATCTGGCAATTTCACATCTGGTCATAAATCTGAAGAAAATGAAATCACTATGTCACAGAGATTTCTGCACCTTCATGTTCATGGTAGTATTATTTACAATAGCAAAGACATGGTAAAAAGCAGTGTCTACCAACAAGTGAATGGATAAAGAAGTTGCAGGACATACATACATACACAATAAAGTATTATTCAGTCATAAAAAAAGAAAATCCTGCCATTTGCAACATTATAGAAAAATTGAGTGCACTATACTAAGAAAGTCAGAGAGAGAAAGACAAATACTGTATGATCTTACATACATGTGTAATCTGAAAAAAACAAACTCACAGAAACAAGTGTACAATGGTGAGTGCCAGGAGTGGGGAGAATGGGTGAAAGTAGTTAATCGGTACAAACTACCAGGTGTAAGATAAGTTCTGGGATGGAACGTATGGCATGGTGGCTATAGTTACCAATACTGTGTTGTATATTTGAAAGTTGCCAAGAGCGTAGATCTTAAAACACACACAAAAAAACTTTAACTATGCAAGGTGATAGACGTGTTAACTAATCTTATTGTAGTAATAATTTTGAGACATGTACAGACATGAAATCACATTGCACACCTTAAATGTACACAATATTATATATGTCAATTATATCTCAACAAAGCTGGGTTGGGGGTGGGGAGAAAGACAGGCGTGAGGAATGGGCTGGAGAAGAAGGATGGAGAAAGGAACTAACCACCTACTTTCAGAGGCCATTTCAGGTTCTTTTCAGGACTCTGTCTATGCTGGGCTGGGTGCTTGCTATGTGACACACGCTCTCCATCTTTTACAACTAAGTGATAAGAAGACGAGAAAGATAAACTAGAAACACATTCTGGTAATAACTTTTTAAAAGCCACTAATGTTGCCAGTAGTAATAATAACTGGGAAGACAAAAGACGCAGCAAATCATCATGTTTATCCTGCTTTATGAGAAGCCGAGGATGAAATGTGGGGATAGGGATTTACATTTTGCAGACCTTATGTTTACACTATGTCATGTTATGAAGACTCTTAAACCTTTTGAGTAATGGCCAACCACATACAAAGGATGATGGTCTCTAACAACGAAGGAGAGGGGCATTGAAACAGTCGTTTGGATGAAACTTGCCAAAGACCCGTCTGTGCTGTCCCCTGTGACCCCACAGACACCATCCAGCAGTTCCTTACAAGTGAAAGCAGATTAAAGAACACGAAGGCAGCTGTTTTTATGGGGAAATGTAACAAATGTACAGTGTGAGGAGTGTCTAGTATCCATTCATCCAGCATTTACTGAACACGTATGTTTAGCAAGCATTATTAAGTATTTTAAATGCATAATACAGCTTCTGCCTTCTGGGAGCTAACAACCTAAAAAGGAAGGTTGAGATGTCAATACGTGTAGATGTTATGGAAGAAGGAGTGGAGAGTATGCCAGGATGGAGGGTAGGAAGAATTTTACTCATGTGCTTTAGATATTGCAATACAGGAGCAAAAGTTTATATTGTGGGAAAGGCAGCTAGTTTCCCAAAGTATGTTCCCCAGAATGCCAACCTGGTCAATTTAGAAACTGGAGATAGTGTGAGTGGTTTCACGGTTAAACACTATGTATTACAGTCCTCCTGTAGAGATTCACTGTGAACGTTAGCAAATTACCGGGTCTAGGAAGTCCACTATTCATAGCAAAAGCACGAAACTATTCAACCTGCAGTTCCCATTTTAATGAATCACGGAACACTTTTGACAGAATAGCACCTATAAACGACCTTGGGAACTTCATATGGCCCTTTAATGGCACTAAACAACTGCCAGCACTGCAGAAGAGGATGAGCCCAAAGCCAAGAGAATCCCTTTGTGCCTGGCCTCCCCTAGGCTTAGTTTCATTAGTTGCTTAAATTTCCAGAGCTACTTAACAAAAGCGAGCAAACAGGGATCTGTAATACACACGATCAAGCAAGAAGAAAAACCCAAACCCACAGAGGACTCCTGAATCCTTATTTTGATCACAAATGCCAGCCTTCTGAAATGTTAACTCTTCCCAGAGATAAAATGTATGAGAGCCGTGGGTGCCGGGGCACAGCAGGCTGTGGGTCTTGGCCTGTGTCTGTGCAAACATGAAAGTGCGTTATTGGACCACGCCTGGAAGGTGATGGAGAAGAGCTATTTAAATGAAACTTCAGTTGCAGTTTCAAGAAATTGAAGTAGCCAAGTGCATCTAACTAAAGACTCATTCCTAACAACCAGTTGGCCCCATTTCCACATTGTGCCAGGGTGCCTGGACTCTAACACAAACCCACTTACTATAGTTTAGCTGCTTATTTCATTAACATGTATTTAAAATGCTCAGATACCATACTAGATAGTAATAAAGTCACAGATTAGTAAAACCTTCTCATGACCATCAAGCCACCACCCCTTAGACACAAAACTCTTCCTTCTTTCGGTGGTGCATTTCAGTTTGCTCAATGAGCTAGTGAGCCGGGCTAGTATTAATTACAGAGAAATTTGTTTCTTTTCTAAAAGATCCTACAGAAAAAGACCAACTGCAAAAAGAAATCAGTTTCTGCACTGGTTTCAGGATAAGTGATGCCAAGTGAACGTTTCCGTCGAATTTCCCCTTCCTCTGGCCCTTGTCTGGTCCCCTTCACTGATGCTGGAAAGTAACTGTTCCTTACAGCGAACACAGCCAACTCACAATTTCCTGTGTGCGCCTTATTTACAAGCTGGATGAAATGCTGCGTATTCTGTACTCTGCTGGTCTTATTCTCTCACAACATTCATTTGCCATCGCCTTGTATGGACATGAAAAATGCAAAACAAGTTAAAAGTTAGCCTAAGATGAAACAAAGCTCCCTTAAAATACAATACATACATCAAAATGATTAAGACTCGTGCCACAGCCCCCTTTCCAGTGGTGTGCCAGAGGTGACCAGACACACTTTTGAAAGGTGGTTGCGTTGGTGTAGAAGGGTGGGTGGAAATAGGCACTGCACTGTCAGAAAACCTGCATGTGCCCGACTGCCTCTTGTCAAGTGACCTCACGTGACTTAACAGCGCACTCGAAAGTGAAAGGGTTGGATTGAACGATTTCTAAAGTTGCTTCTCATTCTAAAGATTCTTTCATTCTTTATCGTGTCATCAAGTACCGTTTCACTCTGAAGAGTTATTTAAAAACGATGGCCAAATTACAAAAGTCTGTCAGTTCCTCTAACGTTATCGCTCAGATTCCTATCTGCTAAGTTTATAGTATCTTTGAAATTGTTGGCACACTATTATAGCTCTAACCTCATGTTTTCTTTGCAGAGTCTAGCCCGTGAGGCGAGGTAACTGCATAACTGATACACTATCGGTAAACAATGCAATCATGAGGCATGAGACATTTTTCATACACTGCCTTTTAAAGCCTATAGTAAAAACCTGTGACTGTCATTTAAAAGTGGCTCTTAAAACGCACCCAAGAAGGCATTCAAGGGAGATCATCTCAGAAGCTTGCTGAATGTGCCTATTTCCTGGGCTCCAGAATCTGCACTTAACAGATACTCTGGCAATTCTTACACCATGGACATTTTAGAAATACTGGCAAAAAGATTTCAATAGCAACTAGAAAATATTTTTGAAAATTAACTACTGAAAAAGTGGGGCACAGCTCTGAGTATTAGTTTGAGAGGGACTATTTTAGATAATTTACCAAATCTGAGGATTTGACAGTTGCATAAAATACTGCACCTTAAAAATTTCCCAGACGAATCTCTTCCTGGCTGTACAGTAAGCAGCATGTGAGACTGTAACTAAGAAAAGTCCGTTCTCTACAAATGTACTCAAATCCTTAAACTAAATGCACCAGAAATGCAAATAAGTCATCACATTTTTGTCTCCTGGGACTAGGCCAAGATGGCTTTTATGTTTCCGAAGCGATCCACAAAGCCAAGATCGAGGTTTCAGAGGAAGGCGCCAAGGCAGCTGCGGCTACAGGTATGTCCGTACCAGGGCATCAGCAGTACTGCTCACCCGCATCTGCCTTTGTTAGATTTACCCGGTCAGTCTCCACACTTCTAAACCTTCCCACTAAAACCCCAAGTCCACACGTGGTAGAGCATTGTTTTAAAAAGGAATGTTAACAAAGTTTTTGAAAAATGATGCGAGAAGAGAGCCATTTTGACAGGAGCTGTACCATGACCCCGCGAACAAGGAATAGAGTCATTCTGAAAATCACCTTTGGTAAGGAATTTATTCCACGAAGTATTTTGAAAATAGGACACAGGGTTGGCTAGGCGGTGTCTTTTCTCTCTGACTTTCCCATTTACACCCCATCATAACACTAAACAATGAGGTATCACTAGGATGCTTTTATTTCTTCAAAAATCAAGGGATATAAGTGACTTCGTGTCCAGTTTTAATAGTGACTTTTCCTCAAATGAATAGAAAATACAGTGCGATTCTATTCTTTATCGTTCCTGCAGCTCTGTTGTTACTGAAAAGGTCTCGGATTCCTGTTTTTAAAGCAGATCGGCCATTCATCTTTTTCCTGAGAGAACCCAACACAGGTATTACAGTATTTTTGATAGAATTCAGATAAATTAAATATTTATCCACATCTCTCTATAGCAACAAGGGTTCGTTTGTCCAGCGTAGCCTAGAACAAGCAGCATTCCTTCTAGCTGGTTTCTCTGGTGTTTCAGAAGCTCCCCAGTTGCTACGTCGTCTATCCCGAGAGAGGGGAGTAATTCCTAACTACAGCGGGAACTACATCCTCTGTGGCTTTTTTTTGCCTTTTCTCTCAGCCCATTTGTAGTTGATGCAGATCTTTAAAAATCCAGGTTTCTACTCGTGGGGAGACTCAGAACAATCATGAAACTAAAATAAGTAATAATCTTGACCTTTTTTCCCCTGTTGTTGCCTAGCTTTCTTGGCATCATAGGATCAGAGAGTTCCTTCAGGCCCCTGGAGGGCCCAAGGAGTCCTGACCCTCAGCACCCCGAGTATCCTAGGGAATGCACCTGCATTTCTACAGTTTTTTTCTGTTGATCTTTCTCAAGCTTGTGGAAACGACACAAAAATCAAATGTTTGCCCCAGTACTTTTAAGTCCCACCATACAACCTCATCTTAACTCAAAAATCGTATGGTACAGACAGAGCCCAGCACATCAGAAGAAGCAGAAGTCCTTTAAGCATCAACAACATTGAACAAAGTATTCAAATTCTTTCTCTTAATGTTCCCCCACCCTCTCTGGCAATTATTTATCAGCCTAAGAAAGAAAAGAGATTCTCAGTAAAGAGTTGTTGGCAAGTCTAAACAATGTGTTAAAAAGATATAGGATGGAACAAGACTAACAAAATCAAGCAAAAGTGGATCTACTTTAACTAAACATCAGGCATTATTTTTATTTATGGAGAGAAAAAGTCAAAAGTTAGAATAATGAAAATTACGCATAGGTTTTACACAAATTGTTAAGGAAATACTGTCAACATCATTTTATCTGAGAATCATTTGCATACTGCTGTAACTTGTGCTAGAAATCAAAGGAACACTTGTGACAAAAAGGATGAAGATAATCATTCACTAGGAAATAGTCTATTTGGGGGTTATTTGGGGAGAAAAAGTCCATTAACAGAATATATCCTCCTAGAATTTCACCAGGATCCTCCCAACCCCATATTTATTAGATGAAAATGTCACTTATCACTCAGAATCAGGAACAGAGAGCCTTCTCTTACAAAGGATACAAGTCAAAAAATGAAAGATGGGGAAAAAATGACAGGTTCTACTCCCTCAAGAAACAAAGAGACAGGACTAAACTTGAACAGAAGGGTCACTGTCAAAAGCTGATAGCCAACAAAGGTTGATGACAGTTAAAAGAGAACAGTTTTTCTTCTGGAATTCAACTGCACAAAAATGATGTAAAATCTTAGAACAAACTAGTAAAGGACATATCACTATTTCCATGATTTAAGAATTTTCAGAACCACCTTAGTAAACAGAATGAAAATATAATCTGACACCAGTCCTTAATCCACGGCACATCTAAATATAGTCCTTGTTAATTTATTTACCTCTCTCTCTGGGAGGTACTTGCCCACATCACACAAGCCAAAGTGGCTTCTCTTCGGGGAACAGGAGTACTGAAGAGACAGAAATGAGGCCTGGCCTTCAGTACACCAAACTGACAAAGCTTACTGATAAGGGCAAATAATCAATCAATTGCAAATGGGACACATACGAGAACATTAACAACAACAAAAAAATGATCTTAACCTCAAGTTAAACTGTTCGAGAACATCATTTGTCCAGCCTAAAGTCATCCAGTGAACTAAAAGGGGCAGAAGACTTGATTATTCCCCTCACTCCCCTCACATGTACTCCACACCTCCCCTTTACTTACAAGAATTCTGCAGTAAGTATTTCCCTAATTTAATATGCCCAGCTTCTTAAAATGTAAGAAACCTGCAAGAGATGGGGTATTAAGCTTGAGTTTTGATAGGTTTCAAAGCTTGTGACTAGGTTTTGGGATGAAGGTACAGAGTTTGGTGGCAGAGATTAAGGACAGAAAGAGATGAATAAACTGTTTCTCTCCAACTCCCTCTAGGGGTCACCCCCCAAATGTATTAAATGTCAAGGGTCTAAATGATTAGTACTTCTTGAGCAACCTGTGAAACAGAAGTAACTTTCTGATAAGGGAAGATGCTAAATATTGGAACAGAGTCCCTTTCCTAAGTATTCTTGTTAAGGATGAACTTTTATCTGAATGATTTGTAACCCTCCTGTTAAATCTCAGAATCTAAACATATCATTTAAGACCAGACAGTATATTCTGGATTTTGTGTATCTGTTGTTGAATTTAGCAATGTGACTGTAGTTAGTTACCTTAACAGTCCCATTTATTAAATGATATCCTCTTAAAGGTATTTTGCAGAGGCAAAAACTGATTTCAAGAATTACGTATGAAAATACTATATAACGTTACATTAAATGCTTCTTTTTCTTAACAGGGTTTGTCTTCAGTATTGGGAGAGTTTCAAGTCCCCTAAACTAAATGAACAGATCACAAGCATGTACTCCACCCTCATCTACGCTTTTCTTCATAAAAAGTTACAATTTCATTTGCTATACCCTTGAAATTTTAAAAATGTTCTGCTAAAGTGTAAAAAGATAAGGGTATGTGATTTTCAAATATTATGAACCTAAAAATACTTCAATTTTACTATAATTTTATAAATTTATTTCACCCTCTTTTAATCTAAATGTATTTTTTAACCTTTTCTACTGGTTACCCCAAAAGCACTACAAGGCACAGCAGTGAGCTATGAATGGTGAGTGAGTCGGGTCATAGGGTCACGTGTCAGTAAGGACATGTGAGGCCGTGCTGGACTGAGGGTGGACAATGAAGAGTGCTCATTTTCCCTTATCCTGGGTAACTAGGGAGAATGCAAAATGAGCAAAGTCATTTTAAATGTGTTTGCTTTCCATTTAGCTTCTAAATAAAATGGAGAGTTAAGTGTGAGAAGAGCAGATCCCCTTTGAGCCCTCAGTCCGCTGAGGGACTCGTAAGCCCGGCATCAAGCTGCTAAACGCCAGACAGTTCAGAAAAGGTGGTGGACCCCAAACTTTCAACCCCTAACTGACAGCTTCACCTGGTGCCGTCCACAGTCCTAGTGAGAAAGCAAAAGGGGTTGAAGGGAAGTAAGTAAGGAAACCAATAAAGTCCCAAGGTCTGCTTTTAAACAGCTTTAAAGAGCCTGCCTATATCTGCCGCAGACACCGTCGTTTGAATGATCCAGGCAGAAATGGAGTATGCTGGGGTGGCCAACAAAATCTAAGAACATAGAGTAAAAAGACAATGCAGATTATGTAACATGTAATTACAGTTAGCTTTAACAAATGTGAACTTCAAGTGGTGTATTTTTCCAATGCTGAAAAGCAAGGCCTTAAAATTCCATTATCTTAAGATGGTTTTAAATGGTCACTTTAAATGTGATTATTTCCTAAACCACACAAGAGTAAAATAGAGCATTTATTGATGGAATAACAAAAGTGCTTTTCTTAAATATTCTTCAAAATACATTTGTACAACTTACAATAATATATCCAAAATAACTGTATATACAAAACATTGCCTAGTTTTAATGTATGTGCTTTTTTCCCCAAAAATTACAAAGTAACTTTTTAATTTTTTGGCAAAGTTCAACCTTAACAGAGGTGACAATTTTAAAGGTTGGTTTAAGAAAATAGAACCTGAGGGAAATTGACACGCAAGAGTCAATGACAAGCAAGAGATTTGGAGGAGTATTTTTAGTTTGTTAAATAAAAATGTTTTTTTAGAGTGATACTTCTCACATTACAAAAATAAACCAAAATGAAGAAAAGGTCACTGTAAAATGATGGAAAAAGGATCTGTAGACTTGCTCTTAGTATTTCAAAAAGCCAACAATGCATGTCAAAAAATGAATGCAAGATCACAACAGTCTTGTATTTACTTTGTATTTGGAGAAGGTAGTGAAATAAGTGGCCACATTCTGTTTTCTTTTAATTGCTATTAATATGGTTGATCTGATTGGCTCTTCGATGAATTTCATCCAAGAAGTTCTCCAGTTGTTCTATTAGCATTCGTTTTTTAAACCTGTATAAAAAAAATAAGTAATAGTACTCTCAATTTCTTTTTAAACAAATAGTTATGTATCAGTATAATTTTTTTTTTAAAGAGAGAAAATGAGTTGGGAAGATTTTTTTAAGTGAAATTAAAGTGAAAGATTAACTTTATGATATATGAAATCTCTTGGAAGACTGGCAAATTATGTCATCAGTACAGTATTATATAGTTTGTTCCTAAAACAAATAATCTAGGCCTAGGTACAATGGGAAAGAAGTTATTCCTTCCACAACCAAAAAGAAAAAGATGGGGAAAACCCCTAATAAACACAAGGGTTATAAATATTCCAGCAAAATCTGGTCCCCCAAAGCAATGACTCCAATAGCTTCTTAAACTCTCTGAAAGTTGAATGTTAAAAGGAATGTGAACAAAATATGAATATAATCCCCAACAAAATGGAAGCAGAAATGAAAGCTGGGCAATCACATTTAAAACCACGGTGTTCTACTATTGCTATCTGAAAGCTAGCAGATCAAAGATAATCAGACATCTGTAGTACAGGATAAAGCAGTTAAAGTTCAAGTGGCAAGTCTTTTAATTTTTCCCTAATAAATATAGTAGACTAAAACTGCATTTGTCTATGTTAGTAGTAATTCTGCTGATGCATTTTAGAATATCCAAAAACACTGCCCAATCTATACCTACTTCCTCTCTACTTGTAAACTAATGTGACTAGCTACCATATTACACAACTCTCTGAAAGATGGCAGAAAGGAGGGCAGGCCCCAGGAACACAGCTAAATCCATGAAGAAGTTTGAGCTGACAGAATGTTACATAAAGAGCAGGACAGGTGAAAAACTCTAAATAAATATGAAAAGTTATATAGCCTTATCTTGAAACCTCAAAGTGGCCTATCCTCTAGTCACTCATTAAAAAAAGAAATTAACTTTTTTCTTAAACAAACAAACAAAACCTTTATGTGTATGTAGCATGGACAAAACTGGGGGACTAAATAAAAGGTGGGTATTTTGGAAGGTCACATTAGATAAACCCTAAGGTTTCTTAAAAGTACTAAAATTTTTAAAGTATTGAAGGAAAAACAGAAAACCCTTTTTTACTCACTAAACTCATACAACTATGCTTTCCAGTTAATTGCATTTTGTAGTTACCATTTATAACCTCGATCCACATTCCCTGTACTAAAGTACATAATCCTGGGCTACTGAAGAGCAATCAGAATAAGGCCCATTTGTCCAGCTCTGGTTCCCTTAATTACATTCCCACAAACAAGTGAACTGCATTTAAATATCGCCTTTCAAGGTTACTTCTAATCACTAATTAATATTAACTGTAGTTTAAATATACAAAGGAGAAAAATTAAAGACTATAAAATATAAAGACACCAAAAAGCCACAGAGTAGGATAAATGAGAATTAGCAAGTATCTGTAATTTGTAGGGAGAAAAGGCCCATGATTTCTGAAGAATTTGTGACTATTCTTTAAGTGAAATTCTTTCACTAAAATAAAAAGAGAAGTACTTATATACACATGGGTGTGTCATATACATGCATAACAAGTATAAAATAGATCCCATTAAAATATTAAATCTATAAACTAGGGACTCATTTCATCGTATCATAATGTACAACAGATCATTTACCTTGATGCTTCTTTAATGACATTTTGTAAAAATATTAGTCTTGTTTGTAAACTGCCTTGCACATGCTTCAGTAAAGTGAAGATTCTTTCATATTCTTAAAACAAGAGAAGCAAAAAGAAAAATTAAATGGCTTTACTTCACACTTACTCAGTATTTTTCTATTGCAGTTTACTATAGCAAGATATCCTAAGAAAACCAAAAAATAGTCTACACTGCTCATTAGAGATTTTATAATACATACATTTCATCATACATCAACAAAGATAAAATAACTTATCACACATTGCTTAAAAGTTCTCATTAAGGTATCAAACATAAAGCTCTGAAGGATGAGTAAATCGCTTTTTGGTAGTGCCACTGAAAAATAAGCAGTGGCTTTTACAAAACTCTATCCCTATGGACTTAAATTCTAAATTACTGCTAACCTGCGGCAGAGGGTATAAAATAGAGGAAAGAAAGACAAACAATACAGGTTAAGAGTGCTATTTCATTTCAAGTTTGCACATAAAACTCTGCCAAGGACTATAAGCTCCTCAACAGCAGGGACTGAGTCTTACCCACTTCTGGACCACACATGGGTCACTGTACCATCACAGCAGGTGATCTGTCAATATCTGAATGGATGCCAATATTGAAATTTTATCTCACAAAGTTCTTTTGTATTCATGTAATAGATAGCTTTTATAATTTTAGTTTTTTGACCCAAACATATCCCTGATTATAGTTTATAGTTTAAATCTTTAAAGTTAAGATGGTGGGTAGGTACTATGGCAAGAGTGTTACAAATATAAAGTCATTTAAATATTCACTACATCTTTGGGGGTTTGCAGTTACATTAAAATCCCAGTTGCTGGTTGGAATAATTCTCAAGACTCTGGGGTCCTGTCATAGTAGGAGCCCCACGTAGCTCATCTGTGCGCTCTTCCTCTACTCTCAGCCCTCCTGCTCACCACACCTAGCAGAGCACGCTGGACACAGCACATATTCAGGTGCTTGTCAGCTGAATAAGGAATCAAATCATGTAAGTTCATATGTTGTTCAAGACTGATCTAGAATCAGAGCTATGCTTTTAGTTAATTTGACTTTTTTTTCTTTTTTGAGCACACATAGAAATAAAATCTGGTGTTCGTCTGCAATTATACATACTTCTTCCTGGCTTTCGGATCTCTTTCATTATTTGTGCTTTTAGTTCAGTGTTGACCTCTTCATGGCTTCTGCAATGCATCAATTTCTTTCCTTTGTTTAGTGAAGATGCTGGTATATTCTCCTCAGGACATTGTTCTTTATCTCTTGGCTCCTCATGATTTTCTAAAAATCCACCAACAGCGAGGTCATTGGTTCCTAAATGATCATGACCAAGAGCCTCTGTGTGATTGGTTGGTCGTTCCAGTAAACTGGCTGCAGATGTTGAAAATTCAGTATCCATAGCATTTGGTGTAGTATCTGATGAAAGCTGGTCTGCAACATGATTTTCAACCACATCATCTATTGTCGAATCATTAGTGGCTTCTGAAACTAGAAACAAAAATAAGGGAAAAAATGATGAGAGCCAATTTCAAAACACACAGTAAAGAAACAATTTATAGCAAATCACACCTGATCTCCTTGACTGATGCAAATTAATAAATAATGTGATATGGCTCTTAAGCTTTGACAAATATATGCATGGAGCATATGTGAATGTGAATTTCAACGTGAAACATTCATAGTATTTACAAAATCTGTACAATTTTTGCCCTTAGTGGGGGAAAAAGCCAGTTTCAAACAACTTTTAGTTCTCTGCTTTATTCTATGGCAATTTTGTTGAGTAATTTAATGCTTTAGGGGAATATTTATCATCAAGATTATCATGGTTATCTTTTCCTTAAAGAGCCTTAGTTTACTCCAACCCACCTCTGCCTTATAAAGTTATCATTTAGAAGCAAAAGTGAACACAGGGAGTTTATTTAAATGGATCAACTTTCTGCAACAACCTGCCACCTAACAGGTCATTCCCCAGAGCCCCCTTTTCTTTTAACCGTCCATCTGGTCTTCATTACTTGAGCAGTGCAGAACAGCCAGTGCCCCTCTTTCAGCTCACTAGACCACTACACTTAAAAAACTTGCAAGCTTCCCACTTAATATTAGATTATTAAACTTGCTCCCCCACAGAAGCAGCTGAATTCTAAGGTCCCTGATTGCTCACCACACCAGGACACCAGCTGAATTCATCTCTCCTTCCCTCATTCTCATTTACTGTCCAAAATGTAAACTCATCCCTGCAAGTCCCCCGACTTCCGACCCCCTACTAAGTCCTATCCCATGGTCTGCAAACTTTACTGAACGTTCACTACGGCAACTCCCACTTTAACTGAAGCCAAACTCACCTGCAAAGAACTTGCTCTCCTTTTCAACCTGAAGTACAAACTACTTTCTCGCACACACTCTCCACGGACTTAACATAAGGATGTGGAGTCACTGATTCCTCCCCCTTCCAGTGCCACCTCAGGATCATTTATCCACGCCCGCCTATAAAAACTCTTGTTCTTCTGAGATTTCACTATGCTACTCCACCCATCCTCTCTCCTCAGCACTCTCTTTACTGCTCTCCGGGGCACACTTGTGGTCACGGGGGTCTCTGGCACCCGGTTCACAGATTTCCTCCCACCCCATGTCCCTGAGGACGTTATTCGGAGTCCTTACCACTCCAAGCGTGGTCTGTGGACAAGCAGCACTAGCACCATCAGACAGCTTGCTAGAAATGGTCATCTTAAGCCCAACCCAAACAATGAATTAGAATTTGTGGCTTAACTTGACCTGCCCATCCCTGCCCATCCCGTGATTCACATACACCTTAAAGTTTGAGAAATGTTGTAGTATGTGACATCCACATCTAAGGACATCACCTGCCAAGAACCTGGCCTCCCAACTCCTCAGTTTCTCATCTGCAGAGTACTTTTCTATCCACATGTTTGCTTCTCAAGCCAAACACAGATCCAGGGATGGAGGCGCATGACCTCATTTTTGCAGTATTCCTGCTATTGCTCTTGAACTCAGCCAGACTTTCACTCCAGCAATTCCTCCACTTTCTCCCTCATATTTGTCACATCCCTTCTACATTTCCACTTTCATATCTATCCAACTTATATCCCATAATGTATCACTTTTACCAATGTCCTAAATTCTCATTCTGTTGTCATCCCATGACACTTACCAGGCAAAATCCCACATTTTATAGACGCCGTCTGTCTGCTTGCTCCAGCCTTACACATGGAATGATGAGCAAGCACTACTGGAGAAACAGGAGCCAGCTCTGCAGAGTGGTCACCACCCCTGCCTGTCCTTGGATCTCAGCACTGCCTAGCAACCTTTAGCACAACCTCTCCTCCCTCTCCCACAAAAAAATCACTCGAACCTTTGCCACTCTTAACCATCTCTGACTTTCCCATTCTCTCCTTCCTCTCAGCAGTATACGTCTCCTCCCACTTCAAAGAGAAAAGAAAAACAAAGCTGCAGAATGGAACTCTTACTTCCTACCATTAAACTTTCACCCACCACACCCACTCTGCTTTAATGGAAGCATTCTTCACTTGGGCTCTGGACCCTTCCCTTCTGCCTTCATAGTGACTCTGTAACTGTGCTTTCTCTTACCTTCATTTTCAACCTCTCCCTCCCAATTGGCTCCATCACACCAGCAAACATATTCAACTCTGTCATCTTAAAGACCTACAGAACTGTTCCAATCCTCTCAAATGATCTGTTTAAGAAATATCTGAGCCACCAACCACTTAATTCTCTTTCCATTTAGCTTCCATAACACTAAATTCTTCCCTATTTTCTCCTCTATTTCTTGGATCCTTCCTTCTCAATCTCCTTTTCTAAACCTTATTTCTCCTCTTTACTTTGGTACTTTCAAAGTTCCTTTCTAGGCTTTTTCTTCTGTTTCCCTTGGTGTGATTTAATTCACCCCATGGGGGTTAAGGGTGCCTTCCATACCAACCCACTCTGGCCCAGTCTTCTTCTCCTGAGTTCCAAACTCAACTTTCCATCTTCTAATTTAGGATTTCCAATCTAATCGGCATTACTAAACTAAACTCATTCCGCATCTCTTCTTCCACTCCACCCCTGACACACTCAAATACACACACTCAACTCCTCCCTTGCCCTGACTCCAACATCACCAAGTCCTCTGTTGATATGTCCAAGTATTTCTCAAATACATATGCCTCTCACAACCCCAGTGCCAAGTCACACCAATTGCTCTTCCCCGTGTTTCCTAACTGGTTTCTGAACATCCATAACAATTATTTAATAACAGCAAATACTCAGTCACTGTCCACAATCTCTAATTACTTTATATATTTTGTCTGTGAAACGTTTAATTTTCTTTGATTTAGGGTCCAAATCAGGCCTGTACATTGCAACTGATTTATATGTCTTTTAACTACCTTTTAATCTATAAAATCTTTCTGTATGTCTCTTGTTTCTATCCATTTTCTCCCCCTGAAAAACACACAAACACACCAGATTCCTTGTCCTATACAGTTTTCCACAATCTGGATTTTGCTAACTATATCCCTGAATTGCTGTTTAACATGTTTCTCTGTCCCTTTTATTTCCTAAAAATTGGTAGTCAGATACAGAAGCTTGATCAGATTGATGTTCAATATATTTTTTTTTGGCAAGACTACTTCAAAAGTACTATTGTGTAATTCCAACAGGAGGTATTATTTTATTTGTTTTCTCTCCAGTTTGAGATGTTATTAGCCATGAACGAGCACTACCCTTATAATTAAAGAATCCATTAACTCATTAAGGGTTCTCTACATCAATTCTCACTCTTCCCTAATAATATTCTATACAGTAAGGTCAGCCTGATCTTTATAAAATGCTAATCAGATTAGATCACTATTGCTTTAAAACTTTTCAATGGATTCTCACTGTCCTTAGAATAAAGTCTAGAATCTTTACAATGGCTTCCAAGGCTCTCTCTGATCGAGTCTCTTCATGTGTATCATTCATTCTCACCTTACCTTATTCCCAACAACCCTTCAGTATTAGAATTCTGTTAGTTCCCTTAATGCCCTTCTCTTTACTGTATGCCTCTGCACATACTCTTCTCAGACCACTACTGCAGCAAAGGCAAATGCACAGCTTTAGTTAACTCATTCCCATTCATCCCTCAAGTGTTAGCTTAAACATAACTTCCTCAGTAAGTACCTTGATCCCACAGACTAAGTTAAATCCTCTGGCCAAAAGCTTCCACGATATACCTGACTTCCCTTTTTGTAACATTCATCACACTTCCAATGAAATGTTCAATGACTCTCTTTCCTCACTCATTATAAATGAAGGCAGAGGTCACTACTGCCTTATTCACTGCTATACTTCAGTGCCTAGCACTGTCTAACATATGCAGGGGAGAGGGTATAGCTCAGTGGTAGAAGTGCCTAGCATGCACGAGGTCCTGGGTGCAATCCCCAACACCGCCATTAAAAAATCAGTCAGTAAGTAAGTAAATAAATAAACCTAATTACCGCCCTTCCAAAAAACTTTCCTTAAAAAATTAAATAAAATAGCATATGCATTTAATAATTAGTTGTTGAATTAAATTGAAATTGAAAGCCATCTTTCTGTGGGTATTAATAATGCCCTCTCTTTGAAAATTGCTACTTTGAAATACTCAAGATTTGCAAATGATATTTTAGGATCGTGATAGCCAATTAGCATAATGAATATATGAACTGTTCATTCATTAGAAAGTTACAAAAATGATTACATGCTAATTTAGAACAAATACCTTTTTTAGGTACTGTTGGATTTTATCAAATTTTTTTCTAAAATATATGACAAAAATCTCTTCCATGAAGAACCAAAAAGCAGCAAATAATATTTAAAGAAAAACTCTTACTTTTATGAAGAGGAAGGGGTTTAATAAGATCTGGCTGTGCTTGAGTCATAGGTACAGGTGGTCCTTTTCCTCCAATATGATTGTTCACAACTGGATTCTGTTGTCTGCCTCTTAGCAGTGGAGACATACAGCGACGTCTTTTAGGGATGCCTTGCATATTTGGTTCTCCAGGTCGTTTATGTTTATTTTGAGGTCCAGCCACAAATTCATCTGCCTCATCTATCATCATACCCTGTAATAAAAAAAGAATTTCCCTGGCTTTACATAGTTTTTAAAATGGCACAACTACTTCCAATTCTCTTTAAAATAATTATATTTTAACTATGTTGACATTTATTAGATATTCTACCAAGAAACAGTTTCAGCTTACTTTAGTTAAATTAAGAACTGTTAAATCCCCACTGCCTAGCACAAATAAATTATGTAATGGAACATTTCAAATTTACCTTCTTATCCAGCTTAAACGGGTTGCCAAAGGTATGCAACCTTCGAGGCTGATCAGGATCAAGTTCTCTTAGCGGAGAAGGTACTTGCTTGAGGTATTCCTGGTAGTTCCCCATTTGTGCTATAGGAACACTGTGCACTTGATCTTTCAAACAGAACAGAGGAACAACAAAAGTTAACCTCACTAAAGCTACTCTCCAATTGAACATCTTCTTACATATGAACACTACCTGGTGTTATTCTAGGCAATCTTTCCTTACCACATATTCTAAATTAGTTTGTTGCCATATTGTGACATAAAGTCTTGAGATATTTTTAACATAAAATTTTAAATAATTGATTTTATTTTCTAAACGAAAAAAAAATATTGCAGTTAACTTTGGTGTAAAGAATAAGTAATATGTATAACCTTTCCATGGAAAGAAATGTCTCTTTCACTCTATCCCAAATAAGCAGAATTTAATTATAGTGGAATTTACAAAAAAGAGGTAACACATAGATTACCCTTTTTACATAAAGCTATAGTTGAAATGCTTACATCAATCAGAGTTGGCAAAGGGTTAAACTCTCATCTCACTTGTTTTGTAGTAGGTGCCATGGATATGAAGGAAATACCAGAATATGACACGTACTGGGCATCCAGAGTTAAACTATCATACTAGTATATCACAAGAAAAGGAATTTTTATGTTTGTGTTGCTATCTATGCTTGAATGTATGAAGAAAGCCAAAAAGGAAGCTGAACTGTTAACAAAGGTTGTTACCTCTAGGGAATAGAATTTGGGGTAACAGTGATGATAGGAAGAAATGTAGAGAATGAGGAATTACTCACTTTTTACTTCATTCAATGAGAATATAATACTACTGTAATAATTCTTTAAAAGTTACATTACCATACTAATTATTTTTCAATATAAAGAAAGAAATTTACTAAAGAAATACCATATTAAAACCATGATCTAACCTTCATCCTGTCCTTTAAGAAATCGGCGGGTGCTCTTCAAAAGATTAGATCTCATTCTTGTTAAGTGATCCAAAAGATTCCGTCTTGGTATGTCATACGCATTTCTAAATGTCTGTGGCTTCAAATCCTATTTAAAAAGAATCAAAGACAAATTTTACTTTCAGACACAGAATTAAAAGAGACTAAAATCTCCAGTCTGCAGCATAGCTTTAGAAATAAGATACGTGAGTTAAACTATTATATATAAAACAGATAAGCAACAAGGATTTACTGTATAGCACAGGGAACTAAATTTAGTATCCTGTAATAACCTGTAATGGAAAATAATCTGAAACAAATATATATACCTGAATCGCTTGGCTGTACAGCTGAAACTAATATAATATTATAAGTCAACTGTACTTCAATAAAAACATAAAAAAGAATAATTTGGGGAAAGAAGATATAAAAATTAAACAATTAGCTTAAAAAAAAAGGATAAATAGATATGATATAATCTTAATGTATTGTTTTAAGAACCAAAAGGTAAAAAGTTGGTAGTGAGGCTCAACCAAATAATCTCAAATTCACATCTGTCCAAGATTTTATTATATATTCTAACTAAGAGAAGTAAATACCTTAGAAAATGATTTCCAAATTTTAAATATGAAGGTTTAAAAAAAAAGCTTTGATGTGTAATTTATCTACCATAAAACTACCCATTTTATGTACACAGTTTGACGAGTGTTAGTAAATGTATACACCTGGGAAACCATCACTATGATCCAGGTTTAGAAAATACCTTCATCATCCCAGAAAGTTCCTTGTGCCCATTTGTAGTCAATCCCTGTTCCTATCCCCAAACAACCACTAATCTGCTTTCTGTCTCTCTACATTTCCATTCTATAAATGGAATCTTGCAATATGTAATCTTTTCTATCTGGCCTCTTCCACTGAATATTTTTTTGAGATTCATCCATGTTGTTCATGTCTATCAGAAGTCTACTCCTTTTTACTGTAGAGCAGTTTTGCATAACATGGATATACCATCTTTATCCATTCACTAGCTGATCAACACTTGGACTGCTTTCAGTTTGGGGCTATTACAAATAATGCTACTCTCAATCTGTATACCAAGCCTTTATATACCCACATATATATTTTCATTTATCTCAGTAGATATCTACAAGTAGACCTGCTGGCTATATAGCAATATTTACCTTTCTTAAGAAACAGCATACTATTTTCTATCAATAATATGAGAATTCCAGTTGTTTTACATCCTTATCAAAACTTTGTATTTTTCAGTCTTAAATTTTAGCCAGTCTAGTGGGTGTGAAGTGAGATCTCATTATGGTTTTAATTTGCTTTTCTCCAAGGGCTAATAAGGTTGAACATCTTTTCATGTGCCTATTTGAGTTAGCATATCTTACTTGGTGAGGTGTCAGTCAAATACTTTGTCCATTTTTATTGGACGTTTGTCTTTTTATTATTGAGTTCTTTATATATTTTGATATAAGTTCTTCATTCGATGTATGTTTTCCTCCCAGGCTGTAGCTTGCCTGTTCATTCTTCAAAGTTTCTTCTGAAGATAAAAATTTTAATTTTAATGAAGTTCAATTTATCAAGTTTGTGTGTGTGTGTGTGTGCATTTTGTGTTATATTTTAGAACTCTTTGTTGACCCATGATCCCATGGAATAAAGATATTCTCCTGTTTTCCTGTAGAAGTTTACAGCTTTAGTTCTTATATTTATGACCATGAACACTTAAAGTAATGTGATGTTAGGGTCAAGTTCATTATTCTGAATATGGATATCCAATTTCCCAAGCTATTAATCAAAAAAAATTGTCTCCTTCCGGATTGAATTATTTTGACACCTCTGTTAAAAATTAATTTGACTCTACGTGTGAGGGCCTACTTCTAGACTCTGTTCTTTCTACTGATCTATATGTTCATCCTTATGCCAGCAACACGTGTTGATCAATGTAACTTTACAGTAACTTTTAAAATTAGACGATTTAAGGCTTTTAACTTTATTCTTTTCCAAAATTATTTTAAGTATTTTAGAACTTTTACACTTCCATATAAATTTTAGAATCAGCTTGTCTGTGCCTACAAAAAGACTAACGGGATGAAGAGCTTTTTAATGAGTATTCACAAAGCATTTTAGGATCATACTGTGCACCCAATGTTAGCAGTATTAATTATTAAACTACAGTGAACTCTACCATAAGTTATGTAATTTTAGGCAATTTCTAGGACTGTTTTTTCTTATCTATAAAATGATTTATTCTTTGTCAGATGTATTCAACAATATAACACAGTATAACTAGAGCAGTACTAAATTCATATAACCATTACCTTATTGAGCAAAGCAACTTGGAACCCAGTGTATTCTTTCATATTAAGGTCTAGCAGTCTGTGAGGAACATCCTCTGAAATTCCCTGGAGCAGTTGTTGAAAATCTTTCCTATAAGCCATTGATAAACCATGTGATCGGCTTCGGACTTTAATTCCAGTTTCTTGTACTACTTTTTTGCCTACAGAACCGATGACTCGATCAGATTCTATTTTGGCCTAAAGTAAAAATAAACAAAAGTTGTCTTTATATAATCTAAAGTAGTAAATTAAATACTAACAGTTTTGGTCTTCTACAAATTATTTATTATATTTAAAAAGTACATAAACTAAAGTAAGTAAACTAAACATAGTTTAAATAATAATTTCTTATGATTTTAAATCATCACAATTCTAAAGTTTTGGAGCAAGGCACACAAACACAACTTCAATTTATTTTACTTATTAATCACTACACTTAAACCATGAAATGTAAATGCACCCTAAATGAAAATAAATATTCCTAAATTTAGAAGTGATATAAAATTAGGAAAAAAAATCAATATTTAAAGACACTATTACTAGCACGTAACTAAATGTTCATAGATATGGCAAATAGTGATGGAGTTTTTCACTGGAAAGCAAATAGCAATATTTCAACTCTTTCCCACCTACATTTCAATTAGCAGTTAAAGGAAAGACGGCAAAAGTACAGGAAAAATTGTTTTATACTTTAGTAACTTGGCAGTCAAACTGTACACTATGTGACTACTATAGTATCTATTAATGTGATTTACATCCAAAATGACAAAATTCAGTATTTTCAAACATTTCAAAAGAAACTCCCATTTTGAAAGAAAAAAAACTGTAAGTTTTAAAACATAAAGAAAAAGAAACTGATTTCTTGGTCTAAGAAAAATAACTTTCTAACATAAATTTCCCAAAAGAAAATATAAAGAATATTCAGGTACAGGAAGAGTAGGACCGTATTAATAAAGCCATTTTCACACACTAGCAATTATTATTTGAAATCAACATTTCAAAACATAGTATACCATGTACCTGAGACAGAATTATGTTAATATGATATACATGGTTTTAAAATATATTAATGCAATGAATTCTATTAGAACCATCAAGAACTAACACCTGGCCTATTAACCATCACAGCCAAAACCATTCAAAATATTTAATTTGACTCTATTTCTGCACAGTACCTGTTGACTCAACTTTTTGAGGTATGAAATGACACTGTAACTAAGTCCATATTCCATACTGTCTGCTATTAGGTTAGGTGCTCCCATCATTCTAACAGCTTTCTTCAAAGGCTACAGGGAAAAAGAAAACACCATTCAATCTTAAGCTTGTCAGAAATTCATAGCTACATGTAGTGTCAATTTTGAGAATTTCACCCACCAAAATGTCTCCTTTTCTTATATAAGAGTCACATAGTCAGATCTGTATTTCAGTAAACTGTCTGTCAGTGAAAGGCAGTTTGAAATACTAAATAAGGATTAGAATCTATAATAACAACAACCAGAGCAAGAAATGGTGAAGTCCTGGACTTCTTAGTATCACTAGAGACACTAAGTTTGGAAAAAATGGGCAGGAGACACATTGCAGAAGTAGAATTGATGGAAGTTGGGTAGTCAGTGAAAAGGAGTCAAGGAAAATAGAGGATTTCTACCTTGGGTAACTGGAAGGGTTGTGGCTCAACCCCTCATTAGCTTTATGACCTCTCTGCGCCTTAAGTGTCTCATTTGTAAAATAATAATAGTAGTAACTACATAGGGCTGTCATGGGATTAAATGAATTAATATATGTAGCACATCTGGCACACTGTAAGTATTCAGTAGGTATTCATCATTACTACTATCATTAGCTGAGCTGAAAGAAAAAATAAAAACAAGCTCTAGAGGAAGAATGAGGAGGCAAAGATAAGTGTAATATTTACTGTGGAAGTGGTACAGTGAAATAATTTTCAATTGTAAGGAAAGGCAAATTAAGAACCACTTTGTGTAATGAAAAATATCACTAGCAGGACTGTCTAGCATACATAAATGGGACAAGTCAGAAAAAGGATGATAACCATTCGCTGACATATTAGAAAACGTATAAGAGCCCTCATGTCAAACTGGAATCAAACCCCAGATCTGAGATTTAATATCCATGTAGCTTTGGCTAAGTCCTCTGGGCTACTATGAAACGTATGAATCAAACATGTAACAGTTCATATTCAAGTGTTTCTTTTTTCCTCTCTCTTACATAGCAGGCACAAAGTGCTAGATACACACAACTTTTCTCTTATAATTAAAATACATGATTTTCACAGCTCAAGAAATTAATGTCCTTACTAGAGACCATTTAGATAGATTAACTACAGTCAAATGCTGTAATATTCCTGCAGTAAAAGCAGAAGTAATGTTTTCAAGTGCTTTTAGTGTAGATCTTTTTGTTAAGATGTTACTTTTCATAAAATAAATAATGTATCTAATAATATATGCATTATTGGTCTTATCTATTATGATATACTAGGTTTCAAATAATCAGAAAACCTGTAGTACTAAAAATAAAAGGTTCTATGAGAATGTATGTTTATCTACCTAAAAACATGTTTCTGGAGATTTAGGAAATAATGCAAACACAAACCTTTTTTTGTACCCTTAAAGAAAAGTAATTATAAAATTGCAATGTAAAAATGTAGTGTAACTAATATACATAAAACAGATAAATAACAAGTTTATACTGTATAGCACAGGGAACCATATTCACTATCTTGCAGTAACCCATGGTGAAGAAGCATATGAAAACGAATGTATGTATGTTCCTATGTGACTGAAGTATTGTGCTGTACACCAGAAACTGACAAAACATTGTAAACTGTACTTCAATAAAAAAATTTTTTTTAATAACATAAAATAAAAAAATTAAAAGGTAGTACAACAATTGAGGTTAAAAGCCTAAATTCTAAACCCAGGCTGCCTGGGACTGAATTCCTGTCTCCCATATATCAGCTATGTAGCCTTGGACAAATTATGTAATCTTTTAGTGTCTTTGTTTCCTCATCTGTGAAATAAGAACAGTGATTTCTGCCTCATAGGGTTACTATATAAATTAAGTGAGGTTAATACATGTCAAGTGCTTAGGATAGTACCAGGCCTGGGCAAGCATTATACATGTTCTCATATTCATCATCATCATTATTCTGCAAATCACTGTAACATTTCTTTTCTATTACATCTATACAGATCATTTGTACACTCAATTTTCATGACATTTATTCTGTAACAGCAATAAATAAAAGTTTTAATACCCACAGTAAACTATAAGCATAATGTAATATTTTCTAATAAGTTCTATTTTAAACAATAATATTCTTACCCCAAGATAGTACGGAGGCATTGTCTTCAAATAACTTTCAAATGACTGTCTCCATTTCAATGTTGGTTTTGCTTTATGTACTTTAAACAAGTCATCTATAAATGTATAATGTGAACAAACTATCAACATTCACTGTTTTTATACATGAAAATCAGGTCAAATAAGTTTCATTTTTAAAGTCTGCTTTCTTATTTATGCAAGAGAGAGGAACATCAGATGTATCTTTTTAACAAAATTAAAAATGGTAAAAATTTTGGTTCTGGCATTTTTGAGTAGTAATACCACTTTAAAAATGAAAAGGTGCCAATTCTGGTCTAAAATTACATGTAATAATAAAAAGGGAGAATCAGAAAATACGTAAGTAATATCTAGACATGAAACAGATTTGAAGACAGAAACAAAGTATGCATGGTGTTTTCTATAAAATATACCTACTAATATTTTGACTATAACTTTTAAATCTGATGGGTTCCATGAACGGAAAGATGTCTTCTCCAAAAAGTACCCCCTCAAAAAATTACAGCCAAATTGTCCCCAGAAACCAACTTTAGGCTTATCATGTAATTTTAGAACAAATTCATTCATTTTTTTAAAATTGCCAAATGAAAATTATAAATTCCTACAAAGAAAACATACTCAAGATCTTATAAATATGAATTGCTTCTACAAAATATCTAATTATTTACCAAATACAAACTGCATCACCAGTTCTAACTATGTAAGAAATCTAACTTGAAAAAGCTTAGAATTTTTCATTTAGAAATTTAAAATATAGTATCTTCAATAGTTTGTAGGATCAAAAATGGTTTGACATTGATCTTCTATTTATCAGAAACATGTACAGTTTGCTATAAAATCTTAAGACAGCTGCAATATTTTAGAGTAATGAAAAAAAAAGAAACTTCACTTATTTCCAGAAGACAAGAAAAAAGAAAGAGATGTTTCCTAAATCTGTTTTTAGGAAAATCTGTATGTATGCTAAGCCACAGAGAATGTGACAAGAATGAGACTTACCTAAAAGGGGAAGGAGGACTGGGTAATTATAAGGCATCACAAATAAGTTGACACAATTCAGTGCTGTACTGGCTTTCAAGTAACCAAAGGGGTGGCCAAGTTCACTATATTTTGCACTATTGCTCACATATACCTGTTAAAAAGAAGTAGTTAAAAGTTTATATTTAATAACCTTTACAGAATGTTACATAAATCATTGATTTAACTTTTCAATAAACATCAAATTAAAATTTTAAATCATTACAGATGTTTAGCTCACCTGCCAACATGTTTGAGGAGATTTCCTTTCCAGGATAAATTGAGTCAGAGGTGAAGGTTCCAACTCGTATTTGTCAAAAGGCAATTTGTCAATAACCATCGGTTCACAGTCTGTACAGGAAAACTTCACTACAGGATGAGATGTACGAGGCGGCTAGAGGGGAAAGTCTTATTATTACTCTTCATGTAAAGAACCAGAAACAAACTCCTTTTCAGTATTCCTCACTACCAAAGTTTACTTAGTTCCTCAGTTCTGCTACTGAGAGTTTACTACTGAAAGCACCAGTTAGCTGAAAGAAAATACTTAAACATGTAATGCTTAAATTATATAATATTCACAAGAAAAAGACAAAGCACTTCAAAATTTATACAGAATAAATATAATGATCTTTGTTGATCTTAAAATCCAATTTATCAGACGTTAAATGCAAAATTTTAGAATTAAATAAGTACTTATTAATTTTTATGTCCAAGAAACAACTAATGTATAGGAACCTTCCAGAGTTCTCAACTGTAGCAATTTAATTACTTTAGTATAAAGTAGTGGCTTCCAAACAGATCACAATCATCGATTAGTAAATTTTTAAAATATACTTATAAATTACTTGTAAATTATTAATTTATAGGTACATAATAATATATACCAAATTAATATGAATAAACAAAAAGTAAACATAAGCAAAAGCTGTGTTTTCCTTCCCTATTCCACTAGACTGTTTCCCCTGTGGTATACACACTCTACTTTGGAGACCCTGCTCTAGAGGTACAAAAATCACAATACTTTAAGGGAAAAAAAAGCATGTACTCTATTTCCCACCTTAACAGTCTCCTTCCTAAAACTCTCACCAAGCGAAGATGGTGAAGGAAATACGAGCTACGGGGAAATAATGTGAAATGTCACAGCTATAAAGGACTCTTTATAGCCTCAGTTACTACCTGTATACACTGGTGGCTCCCAAATCTACTGTGCGGAGACTAGATCTCTCTCATTTCTCTTATGTATCCAACTGCCAACAAGACATAACCTGAATTTCTATAGGTCTCTCAGATGTACTATTACTAAATTCATTATTTCTCCCCCCAAACCACAAAACCTGTTCTAACAACCTAGATACTATTCTTAATATCACCTCCTCATCCTCCATATTTAACTGGCACAAAGACTTAGATAAAATGATACCACAAATCCTAAGCCACTTAGAACAACATAAACATGGCAGGTGTTCAGTATTTAGTCCGTGGCCTCTGTCAACACTAAATTCCCATCTCTCTAAAAATTCATCTTCTATTTCTTACCACTCTAATTCATGCCTTCATCATTTCTCAGACTAGATTAGGACAACTGCTTATTTTAAATTAATCTCCCTAATTTAGTCAGTCCCCTCCAATCAATCCCATGGTCATGAAATATAATCATGTAATTTTCCTGTCTCAAATTATTGGGTAAAAGTAGCAGCCAATCACCTAAAAATAGGGCCAGGCTCTTTTAATATTGTATACAAAGAACCTTTGACGATCTGGTCCCTATCTGTCTTTTAACTACCACCCTGTGCTCCAGCCATACCAAACTACCTGCAGTTGCCCAAACAGAATATCATCTTTCATGCCCCCGTGTTTCACATTATCCCTGGACGCTTTGTTATTTTCTCCCTTGCATACTGCAGATGAAGTAAGTTTTGACGTCTGAACTGGCAAATACCAACCTCTAAGACTTCTTCCCCAACACGCACTCTCACCCTGTACACCAAAAACATAGCAGGCAGTCAGGCACCACCTCCTCGGGGCTCTGCCCGCCACTCTATTACAGTTAGCTCTCCGCACTCCATTACATTTATATGGCTGACCTTCCTATTGAATGGAAAGGTTCCAGAGGGTAAGTACAATGTTTTACGCATCTTGTGCTCCTGTGCCTAGCATGTACCTGACACAGTTTATTGAACTGGTCTATAAAACTCAATAAAATTTTTGGATGAAAACATCGAGGTCTAAGAAGAAAGGGGGAGTGGGGAGAGGGGGAATCCTCTAGAACAATTTGGCAAAGAAAAATTTTTATTTATTATTTCATTTAATCCTCAAAACAATCCTATCAGATAGGAGTTATTATCTCCACTTAACAAATGGGAAATTGGGGCTTAGAGAAAATAATTAACTAAAGACACATGGCTGATAACTGGTAGAGCCATGATTCCAATTTAGAACCAATTTCTAATAAATCATATTTAATTTCAGTATTAATACTTCTATATGAAATACTATTATTTATAAAAATTTCATTTCCCTTCTAAGATTCTTCAGTTACTAAATTTTGCTAGTTCTTCCCAATATTATCTCTTTTTTATGATTCTCTCTTTGGTTATCTTAATTCAAACTCATCTTTCTTTCATGAACCATAGTAATAGCCCTCAAGGTAATCTGCTTCCATCTTTCAATTCATCTCCTACTAATTTTGCTGCATATAACCACCAGATTAATTTTCCTAAAGCAGCACTCTGTTAAAAATGTCTTCAGTTCTATGAACTCCACTGAGAAAAACTCAAATTCTCTAGCTTTCCATTTAAAGTCATGAGCAATTCGGTTTATTTAATAGTGCTCCCAATGTCTACAAATATACTATGACCCACCTATTCTCAGCTATTTTCTACTCCTCTAAAGACACATTGTTCTTTTATACTTCCATTCTTTCTTCTCATACTGTTTCCTCTTCCAACTGAAATCCTACCTAGACTTCAAATTCCTCTATGGCTTGTAACAATTTGTAATAGCCCATTAGAGTAACATTAACAGATAATGCTTGTGATGTTGGTTTTTGATTTCTTCCTATTAGGACTTAACAAGTACCATACGTACTACTGAGGTGCTAAGACATACACAACAGAATGAATAATCAACAGTATAATATTTCATTCAAATATCTGTTCTATAAGAGTTTTGAAAGGGCTCCAGAAGACAAAGTAAAATGACCAAGGAAATTGAGAGCTTCTCTAAGGTCAGACTGAAAAAACTATGATGGTTCAATCAGAAAAAAAAAAGAAATAAAGAAGATACCTCACTAAAATTTATAAAAACTTAACTTCATGTACTAACTTCATTAAATTCCTAATGAATAAAGGAAATGTCACTTTATAGACCTTGTATAGAATAAAAGTAAAAATTATTCTGAATAGTTGATATAGGTTTAAAGTATAAAAGTTTCCAAAAACAGTTCAGTTTAATCCATAAATGACAGCTGCAGGAAACATTATTAAAGACTGCTTAATGATCTTTGAAATACAATTCTAATCTTCTAAGAGAAACATCAAAAGGACCATTGTCATGCTCTCCCACAAATTATCCCATGATATCTTCAGATACTAGAAAAAAACACTAATCAGAAAAACACTGTATTAACAAGATTGAATGGATATTTCTATAAATTTACTCTATTATTTTAAGACCAATATAGTGGATACTGATAATTCACCATGATCATTCAATAAGCCTCCCTGTTTCTTAAAAATTCATGTAAACAAGACCAGAAAAATCTTTTCCACCCTAAACTTCCAGACAGAAAACACTGAATATAACTAAAACTATACAAATCAACACAAATTTTCAAGACTAAGTCCAAAAAGATTGCAAGCAAATCATCAGAACTATTTTCTAAGCCTTCATTTAAATTCTAGATTATGTCCTAGAGACAAATCCTCATATTAATAACATTGTTTAGAATTCAAAGAGAAACTCCTGTTATATATCTATGATTCTGTAACCAGATACCAGTAATAAAAAAAAAAGCGTAGTATTAGATTCTAAAGGAAACAGATGTCTCTTTTTTATTACTTTATAGTGAACAACACAGTATAATAAAGCAAATAATAGCTTATCATAGCCCTTCAAACATCAGATTCCTATAAATTAGCCTTTAACTTTAACTGATAAGAGTACTTAAAACTAGTATGAAAAGCAGTTAATGGTTACTATTACAAAGTCACAGTCTCTCTGGTACTTACTAGTGTTGGAGAATTCTGATCTGGCCAAAAAGATTCTGGAACAGGCCAATGACCTATAGGAACCCCAGTTTTAGGATTTGGTCTGACATATATGAGTTTGTGACAGCTATGCCAAGGCTGAGATCCAAAAGGCCTTGATATATCTGGCTGCCCATCTACAGAAAAGAAAGTATATATTGTTAAGAGAAAAAAACATGAAAAGCTAAATTATACCCATTAGTACTTAGTAAAAACGCCCTAATACTTGTTCAATTCTGGATTTCCTTATTTCTCTTAAATGTAGAATGCTATCATGACTAAGACAACATTTAGATTAGAATTTACTAGAGTAAAATCACCAAATTGCAACTATGATTTCAACAGCTGAAAGGAGGTCCCACAGCACCCTTTGCTTGCCCAATCAGAATATGCAAAAAATACTTTATGACAAATTATTGTTTAATGAATAATGTGTCTTCCCCACCAGATAAGGGGAAACATCCGATTTCTTCATCATCATGCTTGGCTTAGTAAATACTAGGTAAATACTGCTAGATGAGTATTTCTTTAAAATCATTTTAACTAAAGCCTAATAACAAAAATAAAAATAAAAGCTTAATATGCAAATCTAGATGTGAAGCATCAACCTTTAATTTAAAACAACTGTAGCAAAATAGCAACTCTTCTCCAACAGTTCAGTAAATACTTACTTGGTGCCTACTCTAACTGAAGCCCTAAAATAATATAAAAATAAATACATCCCATGTCTACACAATTTAATTTTTTAAGTTTGTTTTTTTAAACCAATAAATTTATAGCATTACAAT